TGGTGTGAAGAAACCCTCTTTTCCTCCTCCTTCTCTTCCTCCAGCTTCAATGAGGGAAGAAGGCAGGCGTCTTCGGAGGAACTGGAGAGAGGAGGAATGGGCTACAAACCCTCCTTTCCCCTTTTTCCTCGCCCTTTTTTGGGCCCGACACCCTTTTCCCTCCAAGCAAGGAAGGGAAGAGAGACTCCTCAAAGGCGGGAAACCGGCCAAAAGTTGGAGGAGAAGTCCGTCTTCATGAAAAAGCCTGGGAAAGGGAAGCTTTCATGTCTCTCAGGGGTTACATAGTATCCCTTTCCACTCCTTTTGTGTGTGGGAGAGATATTTTTTTAAGGCTGTGGGACTGTGTCACGCTCTGTTTTCCAAGGAAAAATTTAAAAATGGGGGGGAAAAAAGAGTTCTGGGGAACTTTAGTTGCATCCACACTGCGGAAATAACCCGTTTTGATCCCGTTTTAAGAAAAAACTACAATTCCCATGACTCCCTAGCACTGAGCCAGGGCAGTGCCTCAATTTAATGTGCACTATTTCTGGCAGTTTTGCAAAAGCCCAAAGTGCTGGACCGAGGCACACTGGGGAAATGATCCAATTTGAGACCGCTTTAACTGCTGTGATGCTAGGGAATCCTGGGAATTGCAGTTTGCGGTGGCACCAGAGGTTTAGTTGACAGGGAAGGCTAAATTTCTCACCAAAACGACAGTTCCCAGGATTGGGTAGCATTGAGCCAGGGCAGTTAAAAGTGGTGTCAAACTCGATTATTTCTGCAATGTGGATGCTGCCTCCCTGGGCAAAGGAGCTGGGGTCCCATTGGGGCAATTCACATATGCAACTGACTCCTTTCCTTTTATAGGATGTTGTTGTTGTGGTGGTTAACTGCCTTTGAGTCTCATGGCAACTTTGTGGAGGGGACATCTCCAAGACCCCTTGTCCTCATTGCTCAGCTCAGGTCCTGCAAATTCAGGCTCCTGACTGAGTCTAGCCATCTGGAATCTTACAGCTCAGCACAAAAGTCAGAATCACACACACACTGAACAAGCATTTAAACTAGACAAGCCTTTGCAGACTGCCAGAAATAGTGCACATTAAATTGAGGCACTGCCCTGGCTCAGTGCTAGGGAGTCATGGGAATTGTAGTTTTTTCTGGGACATTGAGCTTTCTCTGTCAGAGAGCTCTGGTGCCACAATAAATTACAGTTCCCATGATTCCCTAGCACTGAGCCAGGGCAATGCTTCAATTTAATGTGCACTATTTCTGGCAGTCTGCAAAGGCCCCATGAGGAAATAGAAATAGTAAAAGAGTTCTCATATCTGGGATCAAA